TCACAGATCTAGAACAAATACTCAGAAAGTTTATATGGAACCATAAAAGGCCCCAAATAGCCATAGCAATATTGAAAAAGGAGAACAAAGTTGGAAGGATCACAATACCGGATATCAGGTTATACTACAAAGCTACTGTAATCAAAGCAGCCTGGTACTGGCACAAGAACAGGCATATAGATCAATGGAACAGAACAGAGAACCCAGAAGTTGACCCAAGACATTATGCTCAATTAATATGTGACAAAGGAGGCAAGAGCATACAATGGAGTAAAGACAGCCTCTTCAATAAATGGTGTTGGGAAAATTGGACAGCTACATGCAAAAAAATGAAACTAGACCACCAACTTATACCATACACAAGAATAAACTGAAAATGGATAAAAGACTTAAGTTGTGAAACCATAAAAATCCTAGAAGAAAATGTAGGTAGCAAAATCTCAGATATCACATGTAGCAGAATATTCTTCAATACATTTCCTAGGGCAAGAGAAACAAAGGAAAAAATTAATAAATGGGACTACATCAAACTAAAAAGCTTTGCATGGCAAAAGAAACCAGCATCAAAATGAAAATGGAACCCATTGTATGGGAGAACATATTTGCCAATAATACACCGGATAAGGGGTTAATATCCAAAATATATAAAGTGCTCATACAATTAAAAGGAAGACAAACAATCCCATTAAAAAATGGGCAGAGGACCTGAATAGACACTTCTTCAATACAAATGGCCAAGAGATATATGAAAAAATGCTCAGTGTCACTAATCATCAGACAGATGCAAATTAAAATGACAATGAGGTATCACCTTACACCTTCCAGAATGGCTACCATGAGAAATCATGAAATAACAAGTGCTGGCAAGGATGTGAAGAAAAGGAGACTCTAGTACACTGCTGGTGGGATGCAGACTGGTGCAGATACTATTGTAAACAACATGGTGTTTCCTAAAAAATTAAAAATGGAACTGTCATTTGACCCCGAGATCCCACTACTAGGAATATATCCTAAGAAGTCTGAAACACCAGTCAGAAAGAATATATGTACCCCTATATTCATAGCAGCGCTATTTACCATAGCTAAAATCTGGAAACAGCCTAAGTGCCCATCAGTAGATGAGTGGATAGAAAAGCTGTGGTACATATACACAATGGAGTACTATGCAGCTGTAAGGAAGAAAGATCTCTTACCCTTTCTGACGACGTAGAGAGACCTGGAGAATATTATGCTAAGCGAAATAAGCCAGTCAGAGAAAGACAAGTATCACGTGATCTCACTTATTTGTGGAATATAATGGCCACAATAAGCTGTTGAACAAAATAGATCCAGAGACATGGAAGTAGGGAAGAGACTGACAAACCTCAGAGGGAAGAGGGGTAGAGGGTGGGACAAAAAACCCAAAGAACGTATATGCATATATGCACAACCAATAGACATAGACTACAGTGCAGTGAAGGCAGGGGTGATTCGGGAGGAGGGAGGGGGATGTCAATGGGGAAAAAAAGGGAGAGACATCTGTAATACTTTCAACAATAAAAATATATTTTATAAAAACTTCTGTTTACTTAATTCTTAAAAGATTAACCCATTACTTAACCACAGTGGAAAACAAAGTTAAACAAAATCATCTGTATTCTCAAATAAACATTTTGGTGCATATTGCGCCACAATTTTTTATTTGCATATATAAAGATTGTGCTATGCATACTCTTGTACCATTTTCACACTATTCCTGTCAGTAAATGTGTATTTACATCATAAACTCTTAACAGTTCCATTTATTTATTGTGTAATTTCATACTATTGGGTTTAGTTAACTGCCTATTTTTTGTTCTATTAGGAACAACACTGTAAAAAACTTTTTTTTTCTCTCTGCCAATTGTCTGATAATGAACTGAATGATAATTTCTTTCTGATATATTTCTACAAGATAGCAAATAAACAGCAACAGTTAAACTTAGCTTTATTTTTTCAATAGGCAAATCATTTGCATATTTCAAATATCAGAACAATATAAAAATCATAATTAAGATACCTTGCTAACATGTCTTCATTCGTCATGTTTCCCATTTTCTCCTATCATAAGAAACCATCTTAATTAGGTTATTATGTAACTTTTCGGTGTTGTTATACAAACATTAGCAAATACTCCATATATATTCTTTTTTAAAACTTTTTATTTTACAGTTTACATTCAATATTATTTTGTATTAGTTTCAGATGTACTACTTAGTGGTTAGACAATCATATACTTTGCAAAGTATTCCCCCCAGGTACTTCCAGTACCAACCTGGTGCCATACATGGTTACTGCGGTACTATTGGCTACATTCCCTGTGCTGTACTTTACATCCCCACGATTATTTTGTAACTACCAATTTGTGCTTCTTAATCCCTTCACCTCTTTCAGCCAGTCCCACAACCCCCTTTCATCTGGCATCCATCAGTCCAGTCCGCTCTCTGTGTCTGTGAGTCTGTTTGAATTTTGTTTGTTCATTTATTTTGTTCTTTAGATTTCACATATGAGTGAAATCATATGGTATATGTCTTTCTCTGACTGACTTAATTCACTTAGCTTAATATCCCCTAGGTTCATCCATTCTGTTGCAAATGGTAAGATTTCATTATTTTACCCCCATACATAGTCTTTATTTTTCCCATTTATTACACAGAAGTTAACCTAGTATACTCATGTTCAGCATGTTTCCCTCCCATTTAACAGTATATTGGAGATATACCATGTGGTACATAAAAATATTTCTGCCCTCTCCACCTCTCCACCCCCTCCTTACTTAGTAATAACAAGGACAAGGACAAATAATGAGCAAGCTGCCTAGATTATTCCAAACACATGATACACACTGTCTGCCAGTTCCCCAGTCTAGGGTCTTGATTTTTGGGGTTTCCTTTTAAACAGAAACATGTGAATAGATTATAAGAGACATTTATTACCACATATTTTACTAGTTTACATTGACTCTGAAACCAAAAAACAGTAGGGAAAACACAGGTGTGTGGTCCCAGAAAGCTCTCCCGGGATGAAGTTAATCCTGTATATACGTGAGCAGTTTCATCTCCTTCATGACCTCATTCTTTGTTTACAGTACAGACCCGTCCCCAAATCATCCCGACTTTCTTCCAAAAAAACACTAGCTATTTTGTGGGGGGTTTTTTTGCATTTTGGTTTTCTCATTACGATAGAATTACCATAAAATGATGGTCCCATTGCCAGGTCAACCAGGACTGGATAATGAACAATGAAACTTCGATAGTTTTATTTCCCCTCCTTGTTTTGCATTCCTCTCTGTAAGGCAGCTCCCTCTGGCGTTCTGGCTGGCCTTCAGTTTCTCTCGAAATTACTGAAGATATGGCTTCCATTTCTTCCAGCTAAACTTGAAATCGTTCTCCTCCTCTTAGCCAGAACATTGCTGACCCTTTTCACTCAACCAAGTGTAGATAAAACAGGTAGACATTCCACATAAAAAAGAATGCAAGGTGGTGTGTTTAGAGAACCACAGGTTGTTGGAATCTACTGGGACACAGAGTAAAGCACTGGGAATATTAGGAGGTGTGCCAGATCAGGTAGGCTGGGGCCGTACTGTGAAGAAAGTGGGATAGTATGCTAATAAGCTTAGGTTCTAGTATCTCTGTGATGGAAAGCCATTGAATACTTTTAAGGGAAGTTATAACGTGGCTGTGGAGATTGAGGAGATCCTGGAGAGAGGACAACCAGCCAGGCAGTTACTGAAAGCCTTAAGTGATGAGAAACTACACTCGGGGCGTAGCAGTAAGAATGGAAATAGAGGACAAGGTAGAATGGACTTGTTGAATCAGCTGTGGCTGGGGAGAAAAATGGTCAGTCCAACTCAACACTGAAACTTCTGAGGTGGCTGAAAATGGAGAGACTGTATTTGATGGAGGAAGAGATGAGATTAGACGGCTGTGGGAACTCCAGACGGAGATGCCCAGTAGGGAGTAAGCCTGGAGCTCACAAGAGAGGTGAGAATGGCAAACACACATTTTGTCATCGCCATTATATAGGTGGTAGCTGTAACTTTGGGGTTCAACAAGACCTTGCAAGGGGAGAGAATAGAGTGACAAGAGAGTGCCCAGAGTGAACCTCTGAGAACCATGATGGGGAGAAAGAAATCAGCCCGTGAAGGGGACTGAGAAGCAGAAACCAGTGCTAACAGGAAAACCACTTACCACAGAGAGGCCACTGTTGGGAAGGATTCATTTCTTAAAACAGTTTCAAAATAAAAAGTTTTGCCAACAACATCAAATGCCTCATGATGTCACATAAAATGATGCTATGTATAGCAAATAAATACTGCTTGTTTGACTTTTCCATGTGAATGAAAAATAAGCCAAATGATTTTTATTTCTGTAAATTAGCTTAATGAACTAAAGTTATTTTTTTTTCTCAAACTGATGTACATTTACCTTCTGTTTTCAATCTTTTGTAAATGGCCAATACGTGTTTGTCATCAATATGTAAATACCATTTTTGTGCCACTCTCGTCTAATTTATCACTCTCCCACTACAAAATTATTTAATGGACCCTTACCAGGTACTAGACCCTGTCCTGTGACATGTCCTGACATTGCTTCCCCTGCCCTTCCCCTTGACCCTCCCTGGGCTCAGCTACATAGTCTCAGGGACATTTTCCTGAGTAGCTTCATCCTGAGATTCACAGAGGGAGAAGTCATTCATTGTGATTTTATGGTCCCTGGGCCTATCTGCCCCTGGGCTTATCGTACTAACCCAACACCTACTCAGGGATGGACTTGGGCTTTTCCCAGAATGTGAAGCAGGCAACACTTCTAGGAGAAGACAAGCTCACAGCCTAACATAACCAGCAGACACCTATTTAGAAAGAAAAATAACATGTGATTACAGATTTCTTCAGAAGCAGTGTAAGAATAATAGAGAAAGAAACATATACAAAAAGAGAAGAGAAAAAATATATCGACAGCATTTTTATGTTTATACTTTTCCAAGGGAGAGCACGGTAGTCCCCCACTACCACAAATAATGCAGGCGAGTTTCCCACATTTGGGGAAGTCGCAGGGCTCAGCACATCCTGAGTGTAATGGAGAAGCCCGGCCCGGGGAAAACCACCTTCGTGTTCATGGTATCTCCCCTGCCAGGTAGGTATTCAACAGCACTGTTAAAAGAAAAACAAGTGGGAAAAACAGTTATGGGAAATACAATAGATGGAATAAATAACACACAATACATGAAATAAATATTAAGAGGACCCAGCTGGGGAAATTAGCATCCTGGAAGATCGGATTGAAGAATTCTCAACAAAGGGGGAAAAAAGTAAATAAATAAATAAATAAATAAATAAATAAATAAATAAATAAAACTAGTTGATATGAGAAAAGTATAACTGCTAACATGTAAATAGAGTCATCAAAATAGAGAAAAACAGAAATAGGGAGGAGTGAGTATTTGAAGAAATAATAAAGATAAAATCTTCAAATTAAAAAAAGATGGAAAACCTGAATCAAAAACCTTATAAAGCCCCAAAAATAAGAAATGAGAAAAAAATACTTCACCTGGATCTATCATGTGAAATTTTAAAATATAAAATCAGCCTGGCTGGTGTGGCTCAGTGGATTGAACATTGTCCCATGGACTGAGAGGTCCTGGTTTGATTCCGGGTCAATGCACATGCCCAGGTTTTGGGCTTGATCCCCAGTGGGGGTGGGGGGTGGGGGTGGGGTTTGCAGGAGGCAGCCTATCAATGTTTCTCTCACATGATGTTTCTATCTCTCTCTCTCCTCTCTCTATTAATAATAATAATAAAAAGAATCAATAAAAACATTTAAAATATCAGATAAAAGGGATATTCTAAAATCTTACAGAAAAAGTAAATATGTTTTTTTAAAACAAAATAAGTTTCAGGACCTATAATATTTTATACAGTTATAATATAAAGGCATGGTAAAAATATTCTGAAGTATGTAAGGCCTTAGAAAATTTACAACACAAAGACCTAACCTGAATGTATAAATAAAAGGAAATAGATAATGTATAAATAAAAGGAAACAAGTCTAAAAAGTATGCAAGATAGATAAAATAAAAATCTTCAAACTCATGGTAAAGTTTGTGCTTACCTTAAAAAATATTTATTGGGCCCTTGCCGGTTTGGCTCAGCAGTTAGAGCATCAGCCTGCGGTCCAGAGAGACCCGGGTTCGGTTCCCACTAAGGGCATGTACCTCGGTTGCAGTTTGTCCCCGGCCCTGGTCGGTCGTGCGGGTGGCAGCCACTCGATGTGTCCCTTTCACGTCGATATTTCTCTCTCTTTCTCTCTTCCTCTCTCTCCCTCCCACTCTATCTGGACAACAACAACAACAACAACAAAAAATGGAAAAATGTCCTTGGGTGAGGATAAAAAAGAAAAACAAAATATATATATATATATATATATATATATATATATATACACACACACACACACACACACACACACACACACACATTGGTTTTCTATTGCTGCTATAACAAATAAGCACAAATGTAGTAGATTAAAACAACACAAATGTTTTATTTTATAGGTCTGTAGGCTGAAAATCCAACACAAGTCTCACTGATGAAATCAAGGTGTCAGCAGAGCTGCACCCTTTCTGGAGGCTTGAGGAGAGAAACCATTCCCCTGCCTTTCCAGTTTCGCTGCTGCCTTCCTTGATTCTCAGCCCTCTTTTTCCATCTTCAGAGCCAGCAACTTTGCGTCTCTCTAACCATTCTTTCAGATAGCCATATTTATCTCTAAGTCTGACTCTGTAGTCCATCTTCCACTTTTAAGGACACCTGTTAAGGACCGTAGGTTAGATTGAGTTAGATTGGGCACAGCTGGATAATTCAGGATAATCATCTCAAGGTCCTTAACCTTAATCACATTTGAAGTCTTTTTTATCACATAAGGTAACATATTCACAGGTTCCAGGAATTAGAATGTAGAAATCATTGGGAGGCCATTATTTGCCCATAATTTCTGTAAGAGAGAGAGAGAGAGAACAAATACCTATAAATACCTCAAATTTAATATTCTATATATTAAGGAATGTGAGAGCATGCCAAAATGACAATGTATATAATAACAGATGATTAACACAAGCACTGAAAATATGGTACATACTGAAATAATAAACTATGATTATAGAAATAAGTCCATATATTAATAATTACAATAAATATAAATGGACAAAACTTGCCAGTTGAAAGAGATCGTCACATTGTATAAAAGAAAAACTGAATTATAGTAATCTCATTTAATCCAACCTAACAATCAATCCAATCTAAGATGTGTATCATATTATGTAAATGTAAGAAAAAATAAATGCAATTAAATTATGACAGCAGCTTTTTGATCATTTAGACTTTATGCCAGTTCAAAGAGTTCTATTAGATTTATTTAGACATATATTCTATCATATATAACTAATATGCACTTACAAAAGGTAAAATAGAAGCAAAATAAATTAAAGTGTTTCTAAAATTTTATTACTTCCACCCAACTCTGATAAATCACTTTTTAATTTGTCAATATCCAGACAATATTATTGTTTGTGACATCAAGAGTACTGGTGATTCAGCACTTCCTATATAACCCATAAAATAAACCCTAAAAGCCACTATTTCTGGGCTCTTAAGATAGCTTTGCAATTAAGTAGAACTAGTCTATTTTGTTTACTCTTGTTTTGTGTATGTTGCCAATCTTGCTTGATTCACACTTTACCCATTCATTCCCCACAACCATTTGGTTCTTAAGAGCTAAAAGAGAGCCCCGCTATGCTCTCTTGGGATTTGATGCCAAACCACTGACATCCATTCTTCAAGTTTTTTTTTTTTTGAATTCTCACCTGAGGACATTTTTTTGATATTTTGTTCAGATAGAGTGGGAGGGAGAGAGGAAGAGAGAAACATCGACGTGAAAGGGACACATCAAGTGGTTGCCACCCACACAACCCAACCAGGGCCTGGGACAAACTGCAACCGAGGTACATGTCCCTAGTGGGAACAGAACCCACGTCTCTCTGGACCACAGGCCAGTGCTCTAACCGCTGAGCCAAACCGGCCAGGGCCCATTCTTCAAGTTTTGATGCTAGTACTTGATGTCTGGGCATGTGCAGGCAATGACAAGGGTGGTGAAAATGTTTTCTGAATAACACAGATTGTAACACTGCATTGATTGCAAGGTGAGTCCCGATTTCAAAGTTGTCCAAATGCCAAATTTTATACAGCTTAGACTGCTAAAAATCACATATATGTCTTTTATAAGGATGTAGGGCTTAAAAACTCAGTTTCAGAGTGAAAGAATGAAAAAAGAAGCAATAGATACTAACCAAATGCAAGCTGATACAGCTGTATAGACCTGCATTGTCCAGTGTCATAGACACTAGCTACCGAGCACTTAAATGGGGCTAGTCTGAATTAAGATGTCTGTAAGTGGCCCTGGCTAGTTTGGCTCAGCGGTTAGAGCATCGGCCTGCAGAGACCAGGTTTGGTTCCCGCTGGGGGCATGTGCTTCGGTTGCGGTTTGTCCCCGGCCCTGGTTGGCCGTGTGGGCGGTGGAGTATCCCTTTCGCGTTGATGTTTCTCCCTCTCTCTCCCTCCCACTCTATCTGAACAACAACAACAACAAAAAGATGTCTGTAAGTGTACAATACATACCAAGTTCCAAAGATTTAGCACAAAAGATAATGTACAATAATATCTCACTGATAATTATTTTATTGATTACATGTTCAATTAATATTTTTAATATATTAGGCTGAATAAGTGTATTGTTAACATTGATTTTACCTGTTTCTTTTACTTTATAATGCACTAGAAAATTTTAAGTACATATGTGTCTCACATAATATTTCCATCAGACAGTTCAGATATCGATTTTAAAAGCAAAAGCTGTTAAGAAAAAAGTATATAATGATTAAACGTGTAATTTACCAAGAAGATATAATATAATAGGTAGTGCATAACAAAATATCCACAAAAAATGAAGAAAATTTGATAGAATTACAGGTACAAATTGGTAAATCCAACTATTTTGATCAGAAATTTCAACATTTTTGTCCTATTAATAAATGTGGCCATCAAAAATTCAACAATGATAGAGTCCAAACAACACATTTAGTGAGCCTGAATTTAATGACTGTATATATAATTCTATGTAGAAAATTAGAGAATACCCAGTCTCCTATAATTCACATGGAATATTTATAAAAATTGATCCTGTATTAGGCCATGAAGCAAAAATCAACAAATTTAATGATTATGTACCATTAAAAATAGCTTTTCTGTTTTAAGTTTAAAAATTAATTTTAAAAATGATAAATGAATTATAAAACACACTTCCAAGTAACTGGGTTAAAGAGAAAATCATACTGGAAATTTAAAACCAAAATCTAGAACACTGAAGGGGCATCTGCTTGGAAGCTTGGAGTAACAGGTACTGAATTTATCCTCTCACCAAAAACAACCACAAAATTATAAAACTGATCAAATATATGAAACAACAATTTTAAAAAATTGGGTATCAGGCAACTTGAAACAGTGATCCTTAAGAGATGGAAATCCAGTGGGACCATTGATGGCCCCAGTTTGCCGTCTTGAGAGAGTTTCTAGTCTGCAGTGCAGGGAAAGGAGACCCAGGTTGAGCCCAGTAGACTCCCTGAATTGAAGAGACAAAGCCGAAAGTCCAGGGAGGCAGACCAATGCGACTAGCATTTGCAGAATCACATTCTAGTGAGGAGAGAGATATACAGACAACCCTATACGTCTGCAGAAGGTCTCCATCAAGGATTCACAGGAGCACTGATCAGCACATGCGCATGAGGAGACTATAGAAGGCAGAAAAAGAACCACTGAGATGGTTAATCTTATGTGTCAACTTGACTGGGCCACTGGAGGGACCAACTATTTAATCAAACGTTATTCTGACTGTGTCTGTGAGGGCGTTTCTGGGTGAGATTAACATCTGAGTTGGTGGTCTGAGTAAAGCAGATGGCCCTCCCTGATGTCCGTGACATCGAATCATCATATGAAGGTCCAAACACAAAAAGGCTGACCTTCCCCAAGTAAGGGAATTCCTCTCATCTGACTGCCTTCAAACCTGGGACCTTGGTCTTCTCCTACCTTTAGACTCA